CGATAGTTCAGTGGGTGAAGTTCAAACCCCATCAACATATCCTTTCTCTGCAAATCTCACGATTCTAAACTTCCACCACACTGGCGTAACTTTCTGAATGACCGGTGTGGACATGTCCCCACCCACTTTAAAATGGGTGGGGACATGTCCCCACCAATAATTAGTCCATTTGTGTTGGGATCATTTACTTTAGCCAACAGCAGTAACCTCAGGACGCGTCCGGCTGGGTGTTCTGAGAGTTTTCCGTCAGCATTTCTGTCTCACTATCCCGCTGCCCCTGAGTCCCGCCTACTGAAATGACATCATTGGATCCTCTGTCCATGGCTCCACGTCTGTCACTTTATGATAGAACATGATTGGCTGTCGCTATTCAGCAGCTACTTCAGGTTTGATTTCCAATAAAAAATTTGTAGACGGGTTGGTTTAAAAAAAAAAGATGCCACCGAAAAAGTCGTCAGACATTCTGAGCTTTTTAAACAACAAAAAAAGAAACGGAGTGTAAGTAGCCTTGAAAATTAGTATTGTAATGCAATAAGTTTGACCAAAGTAGGTGTTTAAATAGTTTGTTCTTCGCTAGTTTAAAAAAAGCAAAACATCACGTTTTTTTTTATTACAGTTTTTTCCTGTTTTTATTTGTTATTAATGTTGCTGATGTTTCTGAGTCGTTACAAAAGAGCCACTTAAAGGAACCAGTCTTTCTGTACATAATATTTATATTTAGTTACTGTTGCATTCTCAGCATGAAAGCAATGAATAAATTAATCGCATTTAAATGTGTTTAAGCTTATTTTTAGCCCAGCACTGGAGCTGACGGCTCGGTTCTGCTGCACTGTAGTCGACCAAATTCCCGGGCAATTTTGAAATTCTGACACTTTTTTAGGTGTGAAAAGTAGGACATGTCCTGGAAAAAGAGGACGTCTGGTCCCCCTACCATATCAACAATCTGATGTTTCAGTGAAAGAGTGCTTGTTGCTATGATGCGTCTTTGCTCAGCAGTTTGGCTCGTTGTAAACCAACCAATCAGAGCACAGCATATCTAAATATTCATTCTCAAACCATAAAAGGAAGAAAAACCTGTGGTTTCATTCTAGGGCTCTTAACCAGGCTGCATTAGGGCTCATAGAACAGCTAATAGGACATTTTCAGCCCAACCAATGTTACACACCCTATTAGAGACCTGAAGGACCAGATACCCTATAGAATCATTCTATCACCCTATTAGAGACCTGAAGGACCAGATACCCTATAGAATCATTCTATCACCCTATTAGAGACCTGAAGGACCAGATACCCTATAGAATCATTCTATCACCCTATTAGAGACCTGAAGGACCAGATACCCTATAGAATCATTCTATCACCCTATTAGAGACCTGAAGGACCAGATACCCTATAGAATCATTCTATCACCCTATTAGAGACCTGAAGGACCAGATACCCTATAGAATCATTCTATCACCCTATTAGAGACCTGGAGGACCAGATGCCCTATAGAATCATTCTATCACCCTATTAGAGACCTGAAGGACCAGATACCCTATAGAATCATTCTATCACCCTATTAGAGACCTGAAGGACCAGATACCCTATAGAATCATTCTATCACCCTATTAGAGACCTGAAGGACCAGATACCCTATAGAATCATTCTATCACCCTATTAGAGACCTGAAGGACCAGATACCCTATAGAATCATTCTATCACCCTATTAGAGACCTGAAGGACCAGATACCCTATAGAATCATTCTATCACCCTATTAGAGACCTGAAGGACCAGATACCCTATAGAATCATTCTATCACCCTATTAGAGACCTGGAGGACCAGATGCCCTATAGAATCATTCTATCACCCTATTAGAGACCTGAAGGACCAGATACCCTATAGAATCATTCTATCACCCTATTAGAGACCTGAAGGACCAGATACCCTATAGAATCATTCTATCACCCTATTAGAGACCTGAAGGACCAGATGCCCTATAGAATCATTCTATCACCCTATCAGAGACCTGAAGGACCAGATACCCTATAGAATCATTCTATCACCCTATTAGAGACCTGAAGGACCAGATGCCCTATAGAATCATTCTATCACCCTATCAGAGACCTGAAGGACCAGATACCCTATAGAATCATTCTATCACCCTATTTAGAGACCTGGAGGACCAGATACCCTATAGAATCATTCTATCGCCCTATTAGAGACCTGAAGGACCAGATGCCCTATAGAATCATTCTATCACCCTATCAGAGACCTGAAGGACCAGATACCCGATAGAATCATTCTACAGTATCACTACTTAAGGTTCAGGTTGTGTTTTGTAACTCTGTGAATTACTAGAGTTACATTTCTTGAATCCTCTTATTTTAATTCGGTTGAAGGTTTTTTTTTCCCTCAAAAGTTCTGTCAGCTTACAATCCATGGGCTTAACCTTCAAATCCCTAGAAGGATCTGGAGCCATATTTCCTAAAAAAAACTTCTTACTCCTAAGTGCTGAGAAATGGCACTAAAGCTGCCAACCAATGATGAGACTGGGTTCAACTCCTGCATGAAGAGCTGATGAAGCACCAACTTCCAGTAGAGAAGCTCTTACTGCTGCAAGCTGCCAGCTAACGGGAGCTACCATTCTTCTCCGTCCCTACTTTGGGGCTATAGGTAGAGCTCTTGGCTTATAGGCCGGTGGGGCTTATATACAGTGAGGAAAATAAGTATTTGATCACCCTGCTGTTTTGCAAGTTCTCCCACTTAGAAATAATGGAGGGTCGAAATGTTCATCGTAGGTGCACCAATTAATTTGTATGATCCAGCTGCAAATCCAGCTGCAAATAAGTGTTTGAACACCTGTATATCAGCTAGAATCCAGACCCTCAAAGACCTGTTAGTCCGCCTTCAAAATGTCCACCTGCATTTATTATCCTAAATTAGATTATCCTGTTTGAGGTCATTGGCTGGATAAAGACACCTTTCCAGCCCGTAATCAGTAATGATCCAACTACTAACATGGCCAAGACCAAAGAGCTGTCCAAAGACACTAGACACAAAATTGAACACCCCCACAAGGCTGGAAGGGCTACCGGGAAATCACCAAGCAGCTTGGTGTGAAAAAGGTCCACTGTTGGAGCAATCAGTAGAAATGGAGGAAGCTAAACATGACCTTCCCTCAGTTAGTGCACTGAAGATGGTTGGAGGCTCGGTCTTCCAAAATGACAATGATGCAACGCACAGAGCCAGGATTAACCAAGGAGTGGCTCTGGAAGAAGTAGATCAAGGATCTGCCGCGGCCTAGCAAGTCTCCAGACCAGTCTGCAGATAGAGGGAGCTCAAACTCTGTGTTTCTGAGTGACAGCCCAGAAACCTGAGTGGAGGATCAATGTGGAGGAGTGGGCCAATATCCCTCCTGTAGTGTGTGCAAACCTGGTGAACATCTACAGGAAACCTTTGACCTCTATCATTGCAAACAAAGGCTTCTGTACCAAATATTCACATTGATTTATCAGGTGTTTAAATATTTATTTGCAGCTGTACAATACAAATAAATAGTTTTAAAAAATCATACATTGTGATTTCTGGGTAAATTTTTTAGATTGTTCCTCCTTGTGGACATGCACTTTCAGACCCCTCCATGATTTCTAAGTGGGAGAACTAGCAACGTAGGACGATGTTCAAATACTTATTTTTCTCACTGGATGTTTGTTTTAATTTTTTGTTTTTTCAAAAAAACTTAGATGCCCGGCTTATAGAGAGGTGCGCTCTACAGTCCGGAAAATATGGTAGTTAGATTACTTATTCAATGGAAAAGTAATGCCGTTATTAATGCCGTTATAGCTAGAAACCTTCCAAAGGTATCCTGATCAGATGCCTTGATAGCTAAACCAATTCACCAGACCCTGTTTGTCATGTTTGGTTTAAGGTTCCTAACCCACATGCAGAACACACGGAAACAGGAGAAAAATTCAACGGTTTATTAAAATGTTTCTGCACAGAGAATAAACCGATCCAGGGGGTTAATCAGAGCCGGGACTGGTCACGAGCGGGTTCACTGCAGATGTTAGCAGATGTCCAGAATAATTGGCAGGATGTGAGTGAGCAGGACTGTACCTGTTCTGCAGTTAGAGCTTAGCGGCAGAGGGGGGCGACCTTGAGGGTCCAGAGGCTGTCGGCAGGCTGAGGGCTTGGCGGAGGCAGAGCTTGGTTTGAGTGTTTGCAGATTTCAGGTTTGAGTTTCCCTTCTAGATTCTTCAGAGAGCGGGCAGGCAGGTCTTAGGGAGGCAAGGTTCTCCAGGGTTCTTCAGAGATCAGACAGGCAGATTTCCAACAGAGAAACTCTTCAGGGTTTTCTGGTTTTCTGGCAGGTTCAACCTAGGAGGCAGAGAGGAGAAAACGGTTCAGGTTCAGGTTTCAAGGGAGTCAGAGATTCAGACAGGCAGGTTGGCTCAGGCTTGCTAACCATAACTGGCAAACACTCTGGCACTGGAGAGACGTCCTCTGCCTCCTTAAGTATAGATCCCCTGATGAGCAGATGAGCGACAGGTGGTGCAATCAGCTCCGGCTCCAGGAGATCTAGTACGCCCTCTGGTGGAGAAAGTGGACAGACCTCCAGATCCCAACACTGTTTGCACTGGAGGGGCAATGGCTGCAGTCCAAGCTTGGCCTGGATGGTAAAACTCCATAACTTATCTCTAAGACTCAGTTTGGCCGAGAAACAGCAAAGAGCTTTTAGGACTTTGTAACTAAGACCTTAATCTTTCTGTCAGACTAAACATCTGTTCAGCGATAATATGGGTTAAACATGAAATGTTGCTTATTAGGAGTTTACAGAGTTTGTTGAGGAACATTCGTTAACCTGTTTGTCTGCACGCTGATGGTGGAATATACTCTCATCTTTAGCTTCTAGAGAAAAACATTGTCTCTTTTGTGAGGAAAGAGCTGAAGGCAGCGCTAAAGCTTCTGAGACCAAACTCATCCGACGGCCAAAAGAATCCAAGACAGGATGAAGAGTTAATGCAGGATGAGGATGATGGAGAAACCATTTGCAACAGAGAAGCGTTACTGAAGATCACAACATTTTTCCTGAAGAAAATGAAGCAAGAAAGGTTGGCTGACGATCTACAAAACAGTAAGACTGTTTAAATAAATATATGTTAAAACAAAAAGCGTAGACATTTCAGCTGTGATCATTTTAGACACATCTACATTTCCTCAAACACAGTCTTTTGCTTTTCTAGTGACCTTTTTGCTATAACTTGATTTGTTTGTGTTTTTTTATTAAGGATGCCTGGCTCCCATGTGTAAAGGTAAACTTAAATCTGGTCTGAAGAGGAGGTTCCAGTGTTTGTTTGAAGGAATTCCTAAAGCAGGAAGTCCAACCTTTCTGAACCAGATCTACACGGAGCTCTACATCACAGAGGGGGGGGCTGGAGAGGTCAATACTGAACATGAGGTCAGACAGATCGAAACAGCGTGTAGGAAACCACTCAGACCAGAAACAACAATCAGACACAAAGACATGTTTAAACCCCGACCCGGAAGAGACCAGCCAATCAGAACAGTCCTGACAAAGGGAGTGGCTGGCATTGGGAAAACAGTGTTAACACAGAAGTTCACTTTGGACTGGGTTGAATACAGAGTTCACCAGAACATCCACTTCATATTTCCATTCACCTTCAGAGAGCTGAATGTGCTGAAAGAGAAAAAGTTCAGTTTGGTGGAACTTGTTCATTTCTTCTTCACTGAAACCAAAGGAATCTGCAGCTTTGATCATTTCCAGGTTCTGTTCATCTTCGATGGTCTGGATGAGAGTCGACTTCCTCTGGACTTCACCAACAATGAGATCGTCACGGAAGTCACAGAGTCCACCTCGGTGGATGTTCTGCTGACGAACCTCATCAGGGGGAAACTGCTTCCCTCTGCTCTCCTCTGGATAACCACACGACCTGCAGCAGCCAATCAGATCCCTCCTCACTGTGTTGGCATGGTGACAGAAGTCAGAGGGTTCACCGACCCACAGAAGGAGGAGTACTTCAGGAAGAGATTCAAAGATGAAGAGCAGGCCAGCAGGATCATCTCCCACATGAAGACTTCTAGAAGCATCCGCATCATGTGCCACATCCCTGTGTTTTGCTGGATAGTTGCTACGGTTCTAGAAGATGCATTGGAAACCAGAGAGGGAGGAGAGCTGCCCAGCACCCTGACTGAGATGTACATCCACTTCCTGGTGGTTCAGACCAAAATGAAGAAGATCAAGTATGATGGAGGAGCTGAGACGGATCCCCTCTGGAGTCCAGAGAGCAGGAAGATGATCGAGTCTCTGGGAAAACTGGCTTTTGATCAGCTGCAGAAAGGAAACCTGATATTCTATGAATCAGACCTGACAGAGAGTGAAATTGACATGAGAGAAGCCTCGGTGTTCTCAGGAGTCTTAACGCAGATCTTTAAAGAGGAGTCAGGGCTGTACCAGGAGAAGGTGTTCTGCTTTGTCCATCTGAGTATTCAGGAGTTCATGGCTGCTCTTCATGTTCATCTGACCTTCATCAACTCTGGCATCAACCTCATGTCCAAGACGAGAAGAAAATCTCTGAGGGATACATTTTCAGGGGATAGACCTAAATCAGTGCTCTTCTACCAGGCTGCTGTGGACAAGGCCATTGATGATCCAAATGGAACACTGGACTTAGTGCTGCGCTTTCTGCTGGGACTTTCATTGCAAACCAACCAGACTTTCTTAGTAGATGCAATGACAAAGAAAGGGAGTAGCTCAAAGACAAATCAGGAAATAGTTGGTTACATAAAAAACAAGATCAATGGTAATCTGTCTGCAGAGAAAACCATCAATCTCTTCCACTGTCTGAATGAACTGAGGGATCGTTCTCTGGTGGAGAAACTTCAACAGACTCTGAGTTCAGAAAGTCTCTCCTCAGTTAAACTGACTCCTGCCCAGCTGTCAGCTTTGGCTTTCATTCTGTTGTCATCAGGAGAAGATCTAGATGTATTTGACTTGAAGAAATACTCTGTTTCTGAAGAAGGTCTTTCACGGCTCCTCCCAGTGATGCAAGCTTCCACCAAGGCTATGTGTGTAATGGTCGTAAATATTGAGTTCATTTTTCAATCGTTGCTTTGTTCATTTTCTGATCTGAGTGAATCCTCTACAGACTAAGTGGCTGTGACCTTTCAGAGAGAAGCTGTGAAGCTCTGTCCTCAGTTCTTTGCTCCAGGAACTCAGCTTTGAGAGAAATGGATCTGACTGGCAGCAACCTGCAGGCTTCAAGCCTTACCCTAATCTGTGCTGGACTCCAAAACCCACACTGCATAATGGAAGCGATCAGGTCTGGATTTAGTTTGTCTAAATAATATAAGTAATCATAGGTAACACTTTACTCCATAAGGTGTTTTTCAAGTGCTTCTAACGCTATGTTCACAACGCAAGCAGCAGAGGCAGCAGAAGTAGCTGGTTTCCATGCAGAGTCAATGGTTGATGCACATCAAGGTGCAGCAAAAGGTCGCGCAGCGCGTTTAGAGCAGCAGGAGCAGCGCCTCACAAGCTTCTGAGCATCTGACGTGATGCGCTTCAGAAGCAGCAGCTGCTGGAGTTGGAAAACTTGAACTTTTGCTGCTGGATGCGCCTCATCAACCAATGAGAGAAGCTGATCTGGGAGCTGGCAGGGAGTCAGACGCAGCGCTGCTGATGCAGAGCGCTATGATCACTCCTCTGAAACAGTTTATTAACGCCTAAATTAACTTCAAATGTAGAAAAACCTGGTGTTATTATTCTGGTGTCTGTAGTTTGGATTACATACATGAAAAACACCTTCCAGCCGCTGCGAACGCGTAGGGGAAAACTGCGAAGAGGCAGCGACGCGTCAGAACTAAACTTTTACAAGCTTCAAAAATGAAGCAGCACGCGAGTTTCTGCTGCTCCTGCTGCATGCGGTGTGAACGTAGCATTATAGCAGTACTGTCTATGGTTGAAGCCTCAGTGAGCAAAGTCCTCCAGATGATCATCTTTCAATTAGCAGAGAACTTAACGATATATTTTAACCATGGTTTTCATTTTCAGATTAAGTCACTGCAACCTCTCAGTGGAAAGCTGTAGAATATTGTCTTCAGTTCTCAGCTGCAAGTCTGCTTCTCTGAGACACTTGGACTTGACTAACAACGACTTGTGGAATTCAGGAGTGAAGGTGCTTTGTGATGAACTGAAAAGACCAGAATGTTTACTGGAAACTCTCAGGTAGAAAACATTAAAGATTGTATAAACGATTGCATCATTCTAACTGTATAAAAGGAATGTTTTCTGTGTAGTTTATCAGGTTGTCTGATCACAAGTGAAGGCTGCCTTTTCCTGAGTTCTGCTCTGAGCTCCAACCCCTTCCACCTCAAAGAGCTGGACCTAACTTACAACCATCCAAGAAAATCAGGGCAAAGGATCCTTTCTGATGGACTGAAAAATCCCCACTGGAAGCTCCAAAGTCTCCGGTACCAAGAAGCAGATAAACTCCACTTTGTCTGAGTATTTGGAGAATATCCTCACATGCATTGTTTATTCTGAGGAAAGGTTAGACAGCTAAAACTAAATATTTTCCGCAGGATGGACCATGAAGGACCTCACAGACTGAAACCTGGCCTAAAGAAGTGTGAGTATTTCTAGATTTATTTTACAGAAGGAACATCGACATTAAAGGAATAGTACACCCAAAACATGATTAGCCTTCATTTTCTACTCACCCCCATGCTGAACAACACTCTGGAGTACTTTTTTGATATCTCAAATGCATCTGGAGATCTGGGAGGCTTCTTGCTGTCTGCTGACATTCAAATAATGGAGGTCTATGGCGCCCGAGGCAGAAAGGTCCATAAAAGTCCACAAAAAACGTGTCAATATTCCTCCATACTGCTCGTCCAATGTATTCCAAGTGTCCTGAGTGGGTAGCGTCCATAATTTACTCGAAACGAAGTCATTTAGAATGTTTTTAGAGCATAAACAGTAGTGTATAGGATTTCCTAAAAGCGCGTTCACGAGTCTACGGTAACCGCGGCAGACCAAACCAGATGAAAGTGCGCATTATTGCGATGACAGCAAAACGTCTCCAAAATTGTCTTCAAACTTTGAAACAAAGTCCAGTGGATTGCTTTTTTTACTTTTCTGGAATTGATTACGGAGCAAATTTCTGACAAAAATCATCCCATGGTGAAAGAAGAAAGAAGGGAATACTGTTTCTCCTTTACAGTTAGCTCGGTCGAACCAATAGCCTTAACAGGATTCCAACTTCAGCCTCCTATAGACTGCTGAAAAAAATAAAGGGAACACTTAGATAACACATCCTAGATTTGAATGAAGGATTTTGTAGGAGCCATAAATAAAAGATGCTTTGGTGTTCTTCTGTCGTTTATAGCTGTTATGGGTTTTTGTTTGTTGGTTTGTTTGTAGTGGAATGGACCAATTAGATTTGGGAGGAGTTTTATAATTGGGCATATTACTCACCTGTGGGAGTGTCACTGGCAGAGAGTGGGTCGCTGTATTTTTTGTTGACCGCAATGCAAATCGCTGTAATCTACGTTTTGACCAGTTATATTTTGGATATGTGGTTTATGCCTGTGATGTGAAAAAAGTTCACATCAGCAACATATTGATTTCAGCTGATTCCTTTTTTTCGAACGAGCGCGTCAGACAAGGAACGGCCGACCTCAGCCTCTCAGCAGCGTTTTCCTTTACTGAAGTTGCTGCAATAGAAATATTGTCATTGAATACTTTGTTGTTTACAAAGTTGAATGAGCTGACAACAAAATCACACAAAAATCGTCGATGCAAACCAATGTAGACCTGGATTGGAGTTATACACAAAATTAAAGTGGAAAAACACTACAGGCTGATCCAACCTTGATGTAATGCCTTTAAATCAGGTCAAAATTAAAGCCTTATCTTTAATTTCCCCGAGTCCGTTTCATTAAATTCAATCGCCAATTAACCCACTTTTATCTTAGTATACTTCACAGAGACAATTGATGTGATGCTACCTGTTAATCAATCTCAGTGGCTCCTTAGTAACTGACCGATACCTTATCTCCATATTTCCCCAAGTGAAACTACTCAGTGTTAGTGGGAGACATGCAGTAAAAAGCAACATTAGCAGAAGAGGATGGAACAAAGTTAATTCTATTTCTAAAACTGAAAAGGAATCTTGGAAAATGTAAAAGATGAAAAGTCTGCTGCCAACAGTGTGAGCAGCTCAACACAGCAGTTATAATGTGTTGTATTTATGTTTGTATTTTAACTGGTGTGCCGTCTTGGCCAGGTCTCCCTCGAAAAAGAGATTTCAATCTCAAGGGACTTCCTGGTTAAATAAAGGTTAAATAAATAAATAAAATTATCGGAAACTTTTGGTTGTGCAGCCGTACTAAGGTAGCAACCAATTCTTCTGGGCTTTTTTTTTCTTAATTATGTTGTTTGCTTATGTTAAGCTTATGTTGCTTTTTCAATTATAAATGTTTGTCGTAATGAAGTACGTGCTGGTCAGTGTTGGGAAAGTTCTCTTTCTACGTGAACTAGTTCAAAGTTCAGTTCACACATTTTAAAATGGACTAGTTCAGTTCATAGTTCATAATTTAAAATTTTTAACTAAGTTCACAGTTCCAAAAAATGAACTAGTTCATAGTTCTTTTTTTTTCATATATTGCTCCATTACACCATAGCCTACTGTAGAACCACAGACAGCAATTATTTTATCAGTTGTAACTCTGAAACTGTGCGTCAGATTTCATCTTCATATCCAGTTTTGAATCCTTATCCAACCAGGGTTTACATTAGCATTGAGGGGACAGCATTTTGTTCTTCTTTACTAGTTAAAAAAACCTTGGCTTCTCAGAGGACCATGAGTCCCAGTTACAGGTTAAAATTAAACAAGTTTTCTTATTGAACAGATAGAATCAGACTGCAGAGCTTCTACAGATCTAGAAATGTTGTTTCTGGCATCATTATATTAGTAAAGAGGTTGATAAATCTTTTTAAACAGAGAGAAGCAGGGAGAGCTGCAGATTTAAAGGGGAAACTGATTTACTGGGAAATGCAACATGCTTTTGAATATATCTCTAAGTTTACAAGAAAAAATATGGTATGCTGTACTTCAAATGCAGCATATCCATATTGTTCTGGATGGAATTACAATTGTACTTTTAGGAATGCAATATATATTGAGTTTGGCATCAGAATTGGCTGTTATCCATTATTTTTTTATACATTAATGTTTTTGCACCAAAAGGCATCTCTATAATTATCTATAAATATAAATTTCAGTGTAATATGGTTCTCATGTGTTCTCGACAATAGAAAAGCATTCATGAAATATATATTTGAGCTCATTTTTGGAAAAATACAAAAACCTAATGAAAGTGCTTGGTTCTAGTAACTGTAGGTCCATCAGGCTCCACCCTAAGAGTGTCTCCACCAACTGTCATCACTAAGTTAGTCACTTCTACCAAAATATCAAACTGTCATGATTTTATCAAGAGCTCGGGCCCACATGCAGAGAGACCAATCCAGAGAGACCAGGGGAAGGTTTAACAGGTTTATTTAGGAGTTTGCGATGAATCCAGTGTTGCTCTGAACACTGCTCAACCGGAACTGAAAGGTGAGGGGAAGACACCGCGGCTAGTTCAGGCTCAGTAGGAACCTTGATTCTCGAACTTGAAGAGAAAAATTTGGTAGATAACTCAGGTTTCAAGGAAAATTGCTGACTCTTAGACTCCAGTCTGTGTGCCGAAGTTTGAGTGTTTGTTTGATTCGGTGGAGGGCGGACAGGGTTTACCCAGAATGCGGTTGTTACTTGCACAGGACGTAGTGGAGATAAATCCCTTACTCAGTGTGAAGCTCAAATGATCTCTTGAGGGAAAGTGGATTCAAACCTCCAGTTTGAATCCTCAACTCAGATTGAATCTCAGATGATCCTTCCCGGGAGAGAAGGTCCGAAACATCCAGTTTGCAGGATGACCTATTGCAGAGAGACAAAAAAACAAGATTAAAACTAAGTTTGACAAGAACTCAGTTTGACTCAGCAAAACTCAGCTTGGCTAGAGTACCTGAAACTGGCAAAACAAAAACTCAGGTTAGACTTTGCTAAACTAGGCATGGCTAGATTACCCCAAACTGGCAAACACTCTGGCCTTGAGGTAGTGGCAGTCAGCAGCTTAAGAGCGCTCCGTTCATAAGGTAACTCACAGCAGGTGTGTAGAGAGGCAGACCAGAACCAGGCGCCTCCTGGTGGAGGAAGGGAGACAAAGACAGAAAAAAACACAGACACAGACAGGAATCCTGACACAAGCAAAGTGAAAATCAGCTTTTTTGTACTTTAATCTAATGTTTTACCTTTTACATTAAATTACATTCTACACTTAGGGAGAAGAAAAAGAAGCTTTAAAATGCAGTTTTTTTAAGCTATTTATATATTATTTAAATGGGTCCAAGATTAAACCCAAGTTAATTTTGGACAAGTTCATCCTTTCAGTGACAAAGATGGAAAAACAAGAGGAAATAAGCAAGTACGCATATGCAACTTTTACACTAAATTGAATGAAACATGTGGTTAGAATTGATTTGGCAATTCATTGTTTATTGTGACAGTCCTACTAAAGACTTGATACTTGACCTAGACTTGCGCGAACTTGACTTGACTGACTTGTGAAAATGTCTGGATTCTATCTAGGTGCCGTCCAGGTTCTTTCATGGTTCTCTCAGGGTACTCCTCCACAGTCCAACTCAGGCTAGCTAGTTCCTATAATGCTCTAGTGATGCATGTGTGAGCTCTAAAACCTGACCAACACGTTATAAAATCCTCAGTAAGGTGTAGGTGCTCACACATTTTCTTTTCGTAGGAATTTTAGATAATTGGACAATATTAGATGTTTATAAGTAATAAAGTAATTTGAATACAGTTAATGTTTCTTAAGTGCATGTATAATAAAACTTACCTTGGAAGCCTATTGTATATTTTCCTGCACTAGGGATAGAATAAATTATAAGCAATTTGCTTGGAACTGGATCTAAAATGCAATTTGAAGCCTTAGATTAAGCTAATCATGTTGATAACTCGGGTCTCTTCTTTACTCCCAATGAGCCTCATCAGGTAGACCTGTTCTCAGTGTTAATCTGGCTAAAATTTATGTCCTTGTTGAACTGAAGTGATTTTTCTTGGTAATACCCAAATGTCCGTATGTGAGAAAGTTCTTTAAGTATGGATGGGATAGTTCCAAGGGACAGTGTGTGTGTATGGGGAGTTAGTCCCACTAAGCCTGACCCAGTCAGAGCTCCATCTCTCCATCTGAGGATAAATTTAAACCTTCTCCTCCAAGAGTCTCTGCTTCCTCCTAAACTCCACAAAAGGCTGTTCATGCTAGGCCTGCTTCTATTGGAGGTTTTTTCCCTGTAGAAGAGAGTTTTTCCTCTCCACCGTTGCTGTATACATGCTAGGTTTAAGGGATTGCTGCAGAGTCATTGACTGGATGCAATCTGCTGGCTTTCCTTAAACAGAAAAAAATCTTAATCTGATTGAACTGACCTCGAAGTTTCATGATTTTTAGGAATTGGAGCGACATACTGTATATAAAATGAATTGAACTGACACTGCATAGAGATAAATATTACTGTTTGATGCTATATGAACACCATTAACTAAACTAAAATCATCCTTCTGTTTTAGATGCCTGTAAAATGGAACTGGACCCAAACACGGCGCACAGACACCTAAAACTGTCTGACAACAGGAAAACGGTGACACACGTGACACACAAACTTTCTTATCCTGATCATAAAGACAGATTTTCTCTTTGCATTCAAGTTCTGTGCAGGAATGTTTTGAGCGGCCGTTGTTATTGGGAGGTTGAGTGGAGAGGAAAGGTTGAGATCTGTGTAGCTCATGGAGAACCGGTTTTGGACTGTGTGTTTGGAGCCACCAACCAGTCCTGGAGTCTGGAGTGCTCTGATGGGGGGTATGCTGTGTGGCACGCCAACAAGAAGATCCCAGTTTCCTCATGTGTCACTGCTTACAGAATAGCCGTGTATGTAGACTGTGAGGCTGGCCTTCTGTCCTTCTACAGGATCTGGAGTCACAATCTGAACCACCTCTACACCTTCAGGACTAGATTTTCTGCTCCCGTTTATCCTGGATTCCGGATCCAAACCGGGTTTGTGTCTTTATGTTGAGAATATGCTCATTGGCTGATTTGACCATGATCCATGATACACTGTTCAGTCCAGAACTGAGCAGAACTAGAACGATGATCTTCACAAATAGAATCAGTAAGACCGTGCAAAGGCCCGTCTTTTGTTAATGCTGAAGCTAAAAGCACAACAGTGACACTTTAACTCATTTCATGCCTAGTTGATTGCTTTTTTTTTTGTCTAATAATGCGTAGTTAAATACCTCCTTTACAACTGATGCTTTCCTGAATCATTTAATTGAGCACAATGACAGCAGTGTCTGGTGAACTTTAAAAGGAAAGAAAGTTCTCACACTGGTTCAGGTTTGCTGGCCCTGATGGTTCACTGATGGGATGAATGGATTAAAACCTTCTTAAACTGAAACTAATCTGTTTGAAAATGTACATTAAGTTAGCAGAAACACTTCAGTGTTTGCTTGTGTAAAACACTGTTGATCTCTGTCGATGATGTAATAAGATGATTTAGGAATCTCGCCTCGCAGTGATGTCAGCACCCAGAGCCATGTCTGGCTCTTCGGCTCCTCCACCGGGGGCGCTATTAACCAAATAAGTATTATGATCTTATTATAAATGCAATAGGAAGGCACGGTTTTAGCATTTTTTTATTTTCTGCTTAGGATTTCTGCAAATTAAAAGCTTTAAAAAGTAATCCAGATTGTGTTGATTTTAAAGTTTAATCATCAGGTTTGTTCTTTCATGTTAAATTGAAAAAATGCTTAATATTTAATAGATTTCAAGTAAAAATGCAACTAATAATACTTGCATAAAATATTTTTTTTGTGTGTGTGTTTTTGTTTTGTTTTATGTTTTTTTTTTTTTTTCATCTCTGGACACATTTTTATGCAGCAAATGCAAGCAGGGATATTGAAAAGTTTGGTGATTCTCTGACTATTCGGGGAGCAGAAAACAATCCAGACCTTATTTAATCCGAATCACTGCAGCCTGCAAGATGGGCTCTGTCACGGTTCTATCTAGACGCTGTCCAGGTCCTGTCAGGTCCTTTCAGGGCTGTCAGGGCACTCCTCCACAGTCCAACACAGGCTACCTAGTCCTCATGAATCCCTGGTTATGTGTGTGTGTGTGTGTGTGTGTGTGTGTGTGAGAGACATGCCCCTCCCCTCCCATTCTTCCGCCCTGCCAGGATGGATTACAGATCAGCCATTGTAACCATTTCCATTAAGTGACGTCAGACTAAAACCAGTCAAAGACCTTAAGCATTAGAGCTCAGTTAATGCACCAACTGTTTTCCTTTAACTCACCAGCTGGTTCTGATGTTTATTACATTATATATTCTAGTTTTTACCAATTCAATTCTATTCAGTTTATTTCTATAGCTCCAATTCACATCATGTCATCTCAGGTCACTTTCCAGTTCACCAGATCATCCAGTCAGATTGATTCAAAGTTTTCTATCTAAGGAAAACCAGCTGATTGCATCGACTCATTGACTCTTCAGCAATCCCTCACACTAAGCATGCTTGTAGCGACAGTGGAGAGGAAAATCTCCCTTTGAACAGGAAGAAACCTCCAGCAGAACCAGGCTCAGTGTGAGCGGCCATCTGCTGAGGCCCACTGGGGTTCAAGGAGACAGAAGCAGACATAGAAAAAGAAGCATAGATACAAAAGGCAACTGTCAACCAGCTCCACAGGCGGCCCCGTCCAGGAAACACACAGCCAGGCAGACGAGCTCCGAGCCAGCTCCCATGTCAGAGGATGAAGAGAGCACATCCAGTTAGTCACAGTCAGAGAAACAGGACTACACTGGAAAACAGGCCAAGCTCCAACATCTAGAAACAAAGGTGTTGATGGCAGCAGCACAGCTGATATTTCTCTCCAGGATGGAGTCACAGCCAAACAGGAACAGACCAGATGAAGCTACTATGAGAAAAAGCAGAGAGAGCAGAACGTTAGAGATTGAACTAACAGATTCTGCAGAGTGGGAGAATAGAGATAGAATGAAGCAGAATGGCTCAGTGGGTAGCGCTGCTGCCTTGCAGCAAGAAGGTTCCAGGTTTGATTAGGGCCTGGGGTCTGTCTGCATGCAGTTTGCATATTCTGCCTGAGCATGCGTGGGTCCTCTCTGGGTACTCCGGCTTCCTCCCACAGTCCAAATGAGTGGATGAATGAAGCAGTGTGATGAAACTTGTTGACCTTATTTGTTTTACCTGAAAGTGGAAATGTGTTGTTGGAGGCCAAAGAGTTAATCTTGTAATTTCTGTCGCGGTGGTGTAACATAAGTATTTTACGTTGAGTGAGATGCAAAAGAAATAAATCACAAAAGGAAAAAGACCTAATATTCAAGAAAAAAACAATATCCATGTATGCTGTGTTCAATAATAATGCATGTTTGTATGTGTGGTTGAACTTATGTTTTAAACTGTAAGAGGCCTGGCACAACAAATAGTTCTTTTTTTTATTAGAATTTTTAATCTATGACCTTGAGTTAATTGTTTTTCTACTTTCTCGGTTGTCTCTTGTGTATTTATGGTTTTATAAATGTTATTTTATTTCATGTGTAAGAGTCACAGGAACATTAGCTACAGTTAACTGCAGCTTCTAAGCGATGAGAAACCTTTAGAAACCTTTCTGAATGAAACTTCTTTTATTGTTCTGAGTTCATCTCACATTACATTTATTTTCATCTTAAATGTCCTGTGTTAAGTTTGAGACATGAGAGCATCACAATTAACAAAAAAAGCATAAATTAATGAATTAGAATGACCGTGTTTGGGTTTGGTTTCTCCTGCAGCCACCAGGTGGTGCTGTTGGTCCAATTGATGAGCACACACATTAAAACACATTTAACATGTTGTCCTTCAGAGTTATCTCCTGCTGGAAATCCCAATGATCAACTTGTCATCTGTTGTGTTTTAGTTAAGAGCAGAAACACTGAAGGCAAAGTCTGCTAGATCAACTTTAGAGTAGATTTACCTTCAGTCATTTAGCAAAGCTCCATCCGTTAAAGAGCTCCACATTGAGCAGAGTCCACTAATCCTGATTAAAACAGGGGGGAGAGTGGGACGCCGAGACACATCACACAGAGAAGGACCAGGAGGACAGAGGTGGGGACACCAGATATATGGAGGATAATTTTATGATTCTTCAAGATGGACAGCAGAGGAAGGAGAGGAACCAATGGGTCAGTCAAACGTTCGTCCATCAAACGCAGCACGTCTTCTGGATCCCAAAGGGTAAGACCATCTGAGGAAGTGGGAACAGGTCAACTTTCATTTTCAGGCTCTGAGCAGCTAAACCAGTCTCAGCGTCTTCATCATGATGCTTTGGCTCTGTGGAGACTGTTGGGTCCACATCCTGTAAAGATGTCTTACCTGCTCCTCTTACACGAAGCCAACAAATCACTGAGGTGCAAAACTATATTTTTTTATTTTTAACATGAGCAGATTTGTAGTTGGTAGAGTGTAAACCTTTTCCCTGTAAGTTTACAGTAATTTACTGGCAGCACTTTTACCAGTAAATTACTGTATTTTATATTGCTTTAATTTAGAACTACCAGACAATCTGTATTCGAGAAAAAAATAATAATCCCCCTTCTTAAATGACCATCCCCTGTGACATTTTAATACTGAATGTGTAAAATGTCTACTATATATATATATTAACAGTAATGGCAATAATATCATCCTTTCAACAGGCTGTTGGTTTAAGAGTAGCCTGAACGAAATGAATGAAATCAAAGAAGTGTCCTACCATGACTATGAAGCTGTTGTCCCTAAAGACTGATTTATAGTTCGAAACCAGGTCGTCTGCGTATGTGTTGCAGTGAAAGCAAATAAGCCCCGCCCCCCTCTGCAGACACTCTGCTGCACCTCTCCACAATTGTAGGTGAGCGCAGACAGGAGGCCTGTGATTGGTCAAATCTACATCCGCTCTACTCTATGCGTATTTCCTGTTCGGTTCCTTACCGGCTGGTTTTTGTTTGTCTGACCGCCATTGTGGAAAACGACCGGTGAAGATGGAGCAGCTAGCAGAGCGAGGTGCGCGAGAATGCTGGGACCCTTTTTCCACCTGGATCCCCGCTCTTTTTGGCCCTCATGTCCCTCTGTTGTCGCACGAACTTGCCCCCACTTTCTCACCGCCGCGGCCGTATCTAGACCCACAGCTAGTTCCTGATTGGCCCTCTGGCGTTGTGGCGTGGAATAACATAGTTCAGACCATGCTTCAATATTGGGCAGAAATCAAAAATATCTGCGACACGCTGCTGCAGGAGGATAACCAGACCTATGAAGGGGCAGTGATAGCCATGCTAACGATGTAGGGGCATTGATAGCCATGCTAACTATGTAGGGGCAGTGATAGCCATGCTAACGATGTAGGGGCATTGATAGCCATGCTAACTATGTAGGGGCAGTGATAGCCATGCTAACGATGTAGGGGCATTGATAGCCATGCTAACTATGTAGGGGCAGTGATAGCCATGCTAACTATGTAGGGGCATTGATAGCCATGCTAACTATGTAGGGGCAGTGATAGCCGTGCTAACAATGTAGGGGCAGTGATAGCCGTGCTAACTATGTAGGGGCAGTGATAGCCGTGCTAACTATGTAGGGACAGTGTTAGCCATGCTAGCTATGTAGGGCAGTGATAGCCGTGCTAACAATGTAGGGGCAGTGATAGCCGTGCTAACTATGTAGGGGCAGTGATAGCCGTGCTAACTATGTAGGGACAGTGTTAGCCATGCTAGCTATGTAAGGGCAGTGATAGCCATGCTAACTATGTAGGGGCAGTGATAGCCGTGCTAACTATGTAGGGACAGTGCTAGCCACGCTAACTATGTAGGGACAGTGTTAGCCATGCTAGCTATGTAGGGACAGTGATAGCCATGCTAACTATGTAGGGGTAGTGATAGCCATGCTAACTATGTAGGGACAGTGCTAGCCACGCTAACTATGTAGGGACAGTGTTAGCCATGCTAGCTATGTAGGGACAGTGATAGCCATGCTAACTATGTAGGGGTAGTGATAGCCATGCTAACTATGTAGGGACAGTGCTAGCCACGCTAACTATGCAGGGACAGTGTTAGCCATGCTAGCTATGTAGGGACAGTGATAGCCACGCTAACTATGTAGGGACAGTGTTAGCCATGCTAGCTATGTAGGGGCAGTGCTAGCCACGCTAACTATGTAGGGACAGTGTTAGCCATGCTAGCTATGTAGGGACAGTGCTAGCCACGCTAACTATGTAGGGACAGTGTTAGCCATGCTAGCTATGTAGGGACAGTGATAGCCATGCTAACTATGTAGGGGTAGTGATAGCCATGCTAACTATGTAGGGACAGTGCTAGCCACGCTAACTATGTAGGGACAGTGTTAGCCATGCTAGCTATGTAGGGACAGTGATAGCCACGCTAACTATGTAGGGACAGTGATAGCCACGCTAACTATGTAGGGACAGTGTTAGCCATGCTAACTATGTAGGGGTAGTGATAGCCGTGCTAACTATGTAGGGGCAGTGATAGCAATGCTAACTATGTAGGGGTAGTGATAGCCGTGCTAACTATGTAGGGGCAGTGATAGCCATGCTAACTATGTAGGGGTAGTGATAGCCATGCTAACTATGTAGGGGTAGTGATAGCCGTGCTAACTATGTAGGGGCAGTGATAGCCATGCTAACTATGTAGGGGCAGTGATAGCCATGCTAACTATGTAGGGGTAGTGATAGCCGTGCTAACTATGTAGGGGCAGTGATAGCCATGCTAACTATGTAGGGGTAGTGATAGCCGTGCTAACTATGTAGGGGCAGTGATAGCCATGCTAACTATGTAGGGGTAGTGATAGCCATGCTAACTATGTAGGGGCAGTGATAGCCATGCTAACTATGTAGGGGTAGTGATAGCCGTGCTAACTATGTAGGGGTAGTGATAGCCGTGCTAACTATGTAGGGGCAGTGATAGCCATGCTAACTATGTAGGGGTAGTGATAGCCGTGCTAACTATGTAGGGGTAGTGATAGCCGTGCTAACTATGTAGGGGCAGTGATAGCCATGCTAACTATGTAGGGGTAGTGATAGCCGTGCTAACTATGTAGGGGCAGTGATAGCCATGCTAACTATGTAGGGGCAGTGATAGCCGTGCTAACTATGTAGGGGCAGTGATAGCCATGCTAACTATGTAGGGGCAGTGATAGCCATGCTAACTATGTAGGGGTAGTGATAGCCGTGCTAACTATGTAGGGGCAGTGATAGCCATGCTAACTATGTAGGGGCAGTGATAGCCATGCTAACTATGTAGGGGCAGTGATAGCCATGCTAACTATGTAGGGGTAGTGATAGCCGTGCTAACTATGTAGGGGCAGTGATAGCCATGCTAACTATGTAGGGGCAGTGATAGCCATGCTAACTATGTAGGGGTAGTGATAGCCGTGCTAACTATGTAGGGGCAGTGATAGCCGTGCTAACTATGTAGGGGCAGTGATAGCCATGCTAACTATTTTTGGGGCAGTGATAGCCGTGCTAACTATGTAGGGGTAGTGATAGCCGTGCTAACTATGTAGGGGTAGTGATAGCCTTGCTAACTATGTAGGGGCAGTGATAGCCATGCTAACTATGTAGGGGCAGTGATAGCCGTGCTAACTATGTAAGGGTAGTGATAGCCGTGCTAACTATGTAGGGGCAGTGATAGCCGTGCTAACTATGTAGGGGCAGTGATAGCCGTGCTAACTATGTAGGGGTAGTGATAGCCGTGCTAACTATGTAGGGGTAGTGATAGCCGTGCTAACTATGTAGGGGCAGTGATAGCCGTGCTAACTATGTAGGGTTAGTGATAGCCATGCTAACTATGTAGGGGTAGTGATAGCCGTGCTAACTATGTAGGGGCAGTGATAGCCATGCTAACTATGTAGGGGCAGTGATAGCCATGCTAACTATGTAGGGGTAGTGATAGCCGTGCTAACTATGTAGGGGCAGTGATAGCCATGCTAACTATGTAGGGGTAGTGATAGCTGTGCTAACTATGTAGGGGCAGTGATAGCCGTGCTAACTATGTAGGGGCAGTGATAGTGATAGCCGTGCTAACTATGTAGGGGCAGTGATAGCCGTGCTAACTATGTAGGGGTAGTGATAGCCGTGCTAACTATGTAGGGGTAGTGATAGCCGTGCTAACTATGTAGGGGCAGTGATAGCCGTGCTAACTATGTAGGGGTAGTGATAGCCGTGCTAACTATGTAGGGGTAGTGATAGCCGTGCTAACTATGTAGGGGCAGTGATAGCCATGCTAACTATGTAGGGGTAGTGATAGCCGTGCTAACTATGTAGGGGCAGTGATAGCCATGCTAACTATGTAGGGGCAGTGATAGCCGTGCTAACTATGTAGGGGCAGTGATAGCCATGCTAACTATGTAGGGGCAGTGATAGCCATGCTAACTATGTAGGGGTAGTGATAGCCGTGCTAACTATGTAGGGGCAGTGATAGCCATGCTAACTATGTAGGGGCAGTGATAGCCATGCTAACTATGTAGGGGTAGTGATAGCCGTGCTAACTATGTAGGGGCAGTGATAGCCATGCTAACTATGTAGGGGCAGTGATAGCCATGCTAACTATGTAGGGGTAGTGATAGCCGTGCTAACTATGTAGGGGCAGTGATAGCCGTGCTAACTATGTAGGGGCAGTGATAGCCATGCTAACTATTTTTGGGGCAGTGATAGCCGTGCTAACTATGTAGGGGTAGTGATAGCCGTGCTAACTATGTAGGGGTAGTGATAGCCTTGCTAACTATGTAGGGGCAGTGATAGCCATGCTAACTATGTAGGGGCAGTGATAGCCGTGCTAACTATGTAAGGGTAGTGATAGCCGTGCTAACTATGTAGGGGCAGTGATAGCCGTGCTAACTATCTAGGGGCAGTGATAGCCGTGCTAACTATGTAGGGGTAGTGATAGCCGTGCTAACTATGTAGGGGTAGTGATAGCCGTGCTAACTATGTAGGGGCAGTGATAGCCGTGCTAACTATGTAGGGTTAGTGATAGCCATGCTAACTATGTAGGGGTAGTGATAGCCGTGCTAACTATGTAGGGGCAGTGATAGCCATGCTAACTATGTAGGGGCAGTGATAGCCATGCTAACTATGTAGGGGTAGTGATAGCCGTGCTAACTATGTAGGGGCAGTGATAGCCATGCTAACTATGTAGGGGTAGTGATAGCCGTGCTAACTATGTATGGGCAGTGATAGCCATGCTAAC